CTTTGCGTTTAGATCCCCAGCCAGCACTACAGTGTCCGTGCCACTTCTGTGTCGAAGGAGCTGGGTCAGTTGGCGGTAGAAGTCGTTCTTTACGGAATCATCGCTACAGTTGGTGGGCGCGTAGGCAGCGATGATGAATAGACACCTATCGCTAGGCAGTTCAAAGTGCTTTGGACGGTTTGTAGATCGTCACCCAGCAAAGCGATGTCATCGACGTAGTCCAAATCCGCTATTCCGGCTCTAGGGAGATGCTCAACACCGCTTCCAATGAGGACCAAACCGACTCAATTTAGGTCCATTTATGTCCAGCAGATTTTCTGCACGTTTATAATCATCACAACTAAATCACAGCTGCTTACCTTACGTGCCTTTTCTAGGCAACGTGTTAGCTCTTCACTTTTTCTCGCTATTCCGAATTAAACATCCAAAAATTTCTCCGCAAAATTTCTGGGCCCGAAAAAGAAAAATCGAAATTCCAACGACCTCGACCACGAAAAACGTGTTAACAAAAAAGCTGCCAACATTGCCACAAATGCCACCAAAACGCTATACTCTCAACTCTGAGGCAAAGTACAATTAGCTGGGTGTTTAAAAAACTCGTTCGTCTGCTCGATCGATCGCCTGATCGACCGTACGTGGTAGGCGATTCCCTTCACCCCAGCTTTCAGTCACCATTACGTACTTTCCCTTTTCTTTTCTTTCGTAGTTCGTGTGTTGCAAGTTCCATAGCCTCTTCCTTTATGTTTTTACCTTTTTCCCCGGATACCTCCCCTCCTGGAACAGCTGCAGTGGTGTAGGATGCTAGCCTGGGATGGACCTGAAGCCTCCTGGAAGGGGTTCTTCGCCTACTGGTCTGTTGCCTTGGCTGTAGTGTTCGGGATTCGAATTCCGTGCTCTTCGGTCTGGTACCATTCGTCTGCTGACAGGATTCTTCTACTGGCTCTTTAGGCAAGTTGAAGCTGTCTGTCCACGGTTCAAATGGAAGCTCGGCGGATTCTGTTGCTTGCGGCTGACACATTGCTGGTCGCAGTTTGTTTTTGCATTCCAACCAATACGTCGTAAATGACGCTTCCGCGCTTGCCCTGGATCATGCCTGACGTCCATTTTGCGTGTCCAGTGAGGCCGTGGCTGGAATCCGATTTCACAGGCGTACTGGAGGACAGCGACGATTTGCCCTTTTAGTTCTATCTCTTCCTTAGCTATTGGGATGATGTCTTCATCTTCATGATCATCAACACCAGTCGTATGAACTGATGTTCCGCTACCGTACAACCACAACGACCTACTGAACAAACAAAATTGAGAAAGAGAGAAGGGAGATCTAGCGTAAAACCTCAATACCGTAAGTCACGGGACTTGCTCCTTGTCAACAATATACCGTCACAAACAGCTGGCCATCGGGATGATATCAACGTGATGAGCTTCGATACCTGTCAAATCGGACGACATGTTCATTATTTTCAGTCAGCTAGACAATGCACGTTGGAAGCGACCACGATGACTGCAGCTGGTAACTAGTGCTCTGACACCTTCGGCGATGTCGGGCTTTAAGTAGGTCTCGGCAGCTTCACCTATGGCAAGGAAGTCGCTTATGGTGGGTAAAATATGCTGATATAGTTTGGAATTCTCGGCCAGGAGAAAAACTAGCACAATTATGATCTGCTCCGATATTCCTTTTCACCACAACTTTAGCGATGCCCGGACTTTGTGCGTAAATTACTGCGGCATTAGCCTTATGTGCATCACATTCAAACCTCTCGCAGATATCGTTTTGCGACGATGTACTGGTCCCTGTGAAATCCATTTCATTGAGAGCTAAGCTGGCTTCCACCCACGTTGGGACAGAAGACAAACTATGGTGGTTTTCTTTGACCTGAATGTCACCGCCTCTGTTGATCTTGCCAACTAGTGGCACTATCCTTGAAGAGAGTGCCTTGCAAGCTCCTTTCCATTCTGAAGTCTCTGCCATTACCGAGGCCGTGTAAGTGTCTACGGAAAACTCTTAAGTTCCCCACGACATGAGAAGTTCGCCAGGTTTGTCTGTTCTCTATGTGATCAAAATAACCTTAAATAACTCGGTTCCTTCAGTCTCTTCCGGAATCGAAGTTCTTCCAACTGTCTGACTGGCAGACCTTTTCTCTTCGACTTTTCGAGAAAATTGGTGGTAAACAGCTGGCCTCAGCTCGTGCAGGAATAGAGGTTTCACCAGGTGACCACCATGGCAAAATTTGAGTATGCCGGGGACAAAGTTCCCTTTGGGTAGGACGCAGCGACAGTACAAGCACCAATGAATAGGCTGATACGTAGCGCTGCACGCTTCTTCAAGTACTTTGAATTTTTAAATTACCTTTGTAGAACCGCACTGGATCGAGTTTATTCCGTTTTTCAACAATACTCTTTTTCACTAACCGCGACCTTATTCACTCTAATCTTTGGTTATGCTTTCCGAACTGACGCTATTTTTACCCTCAGTCCAGCTTGTGTTTTTCGGTTACCTGCTTTTTGTATTGTCTATTTATACAGCACGTTGCAAGCCGCGTTCTCCGGATAACAGCTTGCTTTTCGTATCCCATTCCTTTTCTACTGCCACTTAGTTAAGAACCGTTGCGTATTGAGATCTTCAATTGAAGCTCATGCTCGGAATGCGGGAGTCATACGGGTATCTGTCTGACCCCCATCCCTTCCAAGTAACTTGCCCCTGGGGTTCTTCACAGATTGACTGGCGCTCCTGAAAGCTAGTTTCGTGAAGATCATACCGGGTTTCGTCGAAATCGAGACTTCATCTACCAGATAATCACTTTACGTCAGTTATTGGAGCAACGCCATGTATATTGGCGGCTCACCGTAGTCGTGTTTCTCGACATCAGGCCTACCTTGGATTCGATGAATTGATGGGCCCTTTTGGACTGTTTGGTTAGGAAAACTGTGCCCGAAAAATACCTAAACGTCAGAGCGCTTTACGCACCTAAATCGAGTAGAATGAGAGCTCATGGTAAGCCGCCACAGCCATACAATATCTCTAACAGTTTGAGACAGGAGTGTCCCCGCTGTCACCTTTCCTTTTTGTTTCGCCATTGATGAAATCATTTAAACCGCACTGACTGAACAAAACTTAGAGGGTGTGGAGCTGCTTCTACCTGATAGACTTCTTGACTTGGAGTATGCAGTTATATTGCCCTAATCTGTAGCAGTTTATAAACCTTCCAAGCAGCACTGAACAGATTAGCACCGACTGTTAACCGTTTCGGGTTATGTCTTACACCTTTCAAATGCAAAGCTTTCCTCCAAGATTGGCAGGGACGGCTCCCTGCGCTCACCGCTAGTAGAGATCAGCTAGGAGTCATTCGGAAATTTAACAACCTGAGCAGCTGCCTCAGCGTCTGTTGAGTAGAAGAAGAGAGCAAAAGTCGTTTAGTAAAAGCTCCAGGTGCTTTTGACAATCTTCGTCACTTTTGGCGCGGGTGCGACATTGCTCTTGTACTGAAGCATAGTCTACGATGCAGCCGCTCGTCCTACCCCCAGTCGGTTGTGAAACCGGTCGGGCGTACAGAGGCTTGGTACGTTCGACCACCGGTGCCTTCACAGACTAACTCACATTCAGTTGGAACCCTATATGAACAACGAATGTGTTGGACTCCTTATATTTTATGCAGGAAGAGCTAATGAATCACTCAGAAGCATCGTTTCACGCAACAGGTTTTGATGGCTTGGCTCCCGCGAGGTGCGTTATTTGTGCGACTGGGATGTGGATGGAAGAGGATGAAGGGAGTACAACCGGTTATTTGATTAAGAGGAATAAAGGCGCTCACTTCGAAGTGAGCCTCGGTTAGGTCCGCTCGATTTCCTGGGTAAAATCCACGAGACCATGAACTCGTGGCCCGTAGCCCAAGAGATCAAAAGCCTGCATCATAGTCTGAGGGCGCGTGTTCGAGCTTGGGAACCAAACAACCTACGCAGAATCCTTAGCCGACGCGCGATTGTGCGGCAGCGAAGCGTGGCTACTGCGTACCGGTGTACTGATACATTCTCTGGCTGAAGACACTTGTTGATATGGTGAATATGACACCAGAATTGCTTTTGTGTTGCAAGTTTCTTCGCCATTGCCCATCTCGCTTAGTCTCGCCTTCCAACATCGATCTCGTCTTCATTGAACAATGCAAAACAAAACTTAATAATAGGTTTTCTTTTCCTTTTTTGCTGTCTCTTTTTGTATTGTTTTGCGACACGATAGCTGCGATGTTTCTTACTCCTAGCTAATGTATAGAATGATGATGATTTTGACTGGGATGCGATGGCCGTCAAAATCGTGTCCTGCTCGACGGTATATTTATTGACCCATAATAATTCTTTTGTGTATTTGTGTACAAGTCACCAGCTGGCTTTAGTTATCCTCGATTCTACAGTTGGGCCGCTCTATCACTAGCTCCCGTGTGTGCAGCGCATCGTATCACCTACCGAGATGTACGCACAACTGCAGCACTAAATGATCTGCTTCACCTTCCCTCTTGCGACATCTGTACCTACTGGTTTCTGTTAGGCCACCTAATAATCTGTCCCTGAATCTGGATTGTGTAACATCTTCCTCATAGGGGATGCAGGGTATCTTTGACTTGTAAGCTTTTGCCATCACCTGTGTTGTTCACATTCAGCTCTATACTGACCGCCACAACTTACTCCGCACTAACCCGGTTGACCGCAATTGAATTCCACGTGTGTATCCTGAGGTCACTCTCATTCTTACTTAGTGACTGCTCGCCCATACGTCTCCGTTGTTCCCAAAAATTGATCAATGCGCATTGTTTACCGTCTCGATACCATTTCAAGCCTGTCTTACCGGCCAAAGAAACCCAATCTTGGACGCTGCGTCAAGAAATCAGCTCGCCACCCTCTCCTTTGTTATCTGTATCCTAAGGTTTATGTTATTCTTTGACCTGACCACATATCACATAGATTAGCATTTGCTTGTTAGCATTGCCCAACTGTTCTTTCAACATTCACAGGCCAAGCAAGCTTTCCTTGATTCACGGAAGCCCTGTCCATCAGAAAAATCACTTGATTTGTCAGAATTTTACACACAATTCCTCATGGAACACAGAAGCAAACATTTACGGTTCAACTTGTAAGTGGTTGTTGCCTGATGCGTTGTTTTCTTGGAACACTCCTTCACTCAGGTATTCGTAAAAATGGTCTGGCATCATGCTACGCTGAATTTTCTGAGTACTTTTATTTAGTTTTGACTGTCATTGAAACCGCTGAATTCTCTTAGCACTCACTCTTCAATCGGGCAATTTTTTATCACTCCCTTAGCCTTATCCTTCTGCAGTGCTTATCCGTCTGGTTTGCCCTTATTAATGCTTATTAGATGTTGTTGTGCTAAAGCGAGTGGTTTAAGTGAATTCAAACTCTCCGGCAGTCATATTTCCACTGGTGCGTCAAAATATGCACTCGGATATGCTTACCTTCGCGGCACTGTTGATACGAAGGAGGGATATTCCATGTGTTGGGAATATCGTTGTCTTTCTCAGCATTTGGACTGTCGCTATCCCTCCAGTGCATCGTTACTCTCTGATAGCACGGACGTGCCCACACTTGCCTACACATGGGGTTCCCAAGTGGCGATAAGAAAGGTATCAGTACCACATCGGTAGTTTTTACAGACACTTCGGTACCATCCGAGTGCTAGCAATCGCTAGCGTGCTGCGGATAATCATGTTCGAATTGGGGACTTGTTGATTATGAGCCTGACGCCTGAACCACTGGGCCACCGACCTGTGTGATGCTACTTATTCTAGTTCATTGGACTTACCGGTAGAAACAAACAGATCGCATTGGTCCAACTATTTACTACCTATGCCGCCTGATTAGCAATACTCAGTTTTGCTTACGTGGCTAAAGAATCGCTTGGGAGAATCACTAACTTGACAGCAGTAAATGAGGTCGCTGGTGATAGCCTGAACGCATTCGGTCTAGCTAGCGTTTGAAGTTGAGGTCCACGAGATCCATTCTGTGTTTAACTCTAGACAGACTGGTGATAGCCGATTGGCTCCGATGTCTAGCTTATTATCCAGAGATCACATATTTATGCCTGCATGGGCTCGGGCTGCAACTAGCGACTAGCTGAGGTCGCGTGGCAGCGAAACCTCGACGTGACGTGGCGGCTCACTGCTGATGCCTTTGCTAATTCTAGACATCAGAGGTCATAGCTTGCAGCTGACATCAGGGGCGTATTCGTCATCGTTTCTAAGCCGAACTGCCTGTTTAGAGTAATTATGCTGTTGAGTTACCTATGTAGTATGACTGGTTATGACTCTAAGTAGATTGACACACAGAAATCTGTACGCTTTAGTGTGTTTTTATCGACCTTAAGGCGCAAGGTACGGTTGAACGAGCAGGTTGCTATGCGATATATGCTAACTGTCGTCGTTTAGCCACTACATTGGGCAGTCTATTTAGCCTTGTAGCTATAGCTTCTCGTCCAAGATTGAGTTGCGCAACACCACAGTTCATCTGTCGTTCCAATATGGAGCAGAGGCATCGTTAATGTCTGCTAAAAACTGTGAGCCACTGGTACTTTTGCCACCAAGTCGATGTGGCATGACCCATATCTTGCACGAAAACTGCGCGAGTAATGTCACGGCCTGTCAATTGGCGTTTAGCAATGAACCCTCCGGCCCTTGTTGAGTGAGGTTTTGTGGGTGATCAGCCGATAACCTAGCGGTGGAGATAGTAAGTACTTGACTACTAGACTTAATCAGGCTCACACATCTCGTCTTCCTGGTTGGGGCACACGAGTTTGGCTGCACCTGTTATCTGGAACTTTCTGTCGTAATTCTCTCGCAAATCCAGTGGTGCAATTGCTGCGTTTCTTTTGTTACTTCTACTTATCATCCATTTCACAAAATGACTCGGATTTTCTCTTTTCTAGTGATTTGTCCATGTGTTTTTGCCTTCTTTTCCTCTCCTTCATTTTTACCAACTTTCATTATTCTGGCAGCTTGGCTCAAGGTCATTGAATCCGTTGCACTCTTATACTCCGACCCTAGTTTGCCAACCGAACTGATCTGGCTATAACCCAGTGAGCTAACTGCTTTACCGATGCCGATCTACCCTTGCACGATAGCCAGCTTTTTTTGTCCATGAGACGTTTACAACCTTTTGACCTCTTGACTCTGGATATTTGTATGGTAGGTGCAAGTCCTGCCGTGGACCCTATTCCTCCATATTACCGTTTATCAGTGGGCTCACTCCTCTTGATTTATTACGGGACATCCTGTCTTTTTGTCTTTCTCAGCGAGTGGTACCGTCGAATTCTGCGCATCACTATCCTTGGGATGTTGGTCGAACTTCAAACGGCTCTACAAAAGTCTAGGACACTTCTACGTCAGCTCCGAATGCCCACGGGGAACTGAGGCAAGTGTTCGTTTCACCCTACACTTGCTTCGCATTGACGCAAACTTCCAGCAAGGTATGGTTGCACTCCATCGGAATTGTCCGACACTTTTGTTTGTTTTTTCCTACTGAATTACCCCACACTTAATGGATCTAATGTCATTTTCGTATCACCATCTTGTGCATTGATCTCTTCTTGTTATTGCTTCATGTACCGATAGGCTGGCTATTTGGGCCAATAGCCCGTTTTTGCCGGATTCATATTTGCCAAAGACTACGTAGTGTATCCGTATGAGCTTTTACACCGGAGTGCCGTTACTTTAACCGGACCCACTGTATGTCTCTATATGATTCCCATCTGAGCTGGCTAACTCCACATCCTCTTTCGTCGCCTCTTCCTCGTATCTGCTTTTGCTAGTACATTTCTCTGCATTTCATATCTCCCTTGCTTTGCTTCTCCACATATTCTTCTCGGGCTACTGGATGCAACAGCGATGGGCATTTTCCTGGTCCAATTTTCCGTCACTCGGTTTTCGTTTTCATGCTTCAACTTAGACTGGCCATACATACCCGCCATTTGACCCCCAAACCCATTCTCAGCTACTAATTTATGGGGTACTTACTGCTGTGTGAGTTCACATCTACCACACCGTCTGTCTAGCATCTACTTCGTTAATGTTTCACGGGGACATTACTCTAACCACAATATATTACACAAAACCGGCTATCGTAAATGGGTAGTCTTGCGCTACCAAGTGTTTCCACATTCCACAAAAAGACTTGCTTAAGCTCTTCCTGTCGTACAACCACGAGGAGGTCACCATTTTACTGCGACGGTGTGGCTGCGCTTGATGTGCATGTTGACAAGATGCCTACCTGTCTATTACCCACTACCTCGTCCATACTGGCTCTAGGAGTTAGTTGGTCGTTGCTGGAGGGGACGTGGTGCACGGTCCTTGTGGCCGTGCAAGGCTCGAAGAGCAGTTCCATGCAATCAGTGTAGAGCGGACTACGGTTCAGCCACCGCCTTGTGTGCGCTTGATTCCCCAAATACAGCGTGATTGTGTTTGCTTGTGAAGGAGTGTGGGCCGACTCCATTGATGATGATGATGATGATGATGATATATATATATATATATATATATATATATATATATATATATATATTGCAAATCCGACCCTATGATCACGTGGTGCTGAGGCGGCGTTGCCCACCCAGTAGTGTAGCCAGCACCTGCTTCATGCAACTTACCTTGCTCAGCGAGCCGGGTTTCACTGGGCGCCGCAATATCGACGTGGTATCGCGCCAGTTCCATCGCGACTAGTGCAGTGCGTCGCTCGAGGTGCTCACTACATTTCCGGTCCGGTAGTGTGCGCACGTACCAGCATCCGATGCTGAGTGCTTTGCGCGCAGGCATACGATTGCATTGGTGGGCAATCGCACGCGAGGTGGTCGTTGTACTTCGGAGGTTTGCTTGAGGGACTCCACCCGGAGCCTTTGGCTCAATAGCCTGACCCACAAGGCAGTGGGGAGCAGATCCAGCTCGGGAATGTGATTGCAGAGACAGATTGGGATCTGCCTGACGGCCGTCACACGCAGCCGTAATTGGATACGCACCTACGACCACGGCCAAACGCAGGTGGGTTTTGGCGCGTTTGCAGCAAATTGACCAGGGGCTGCGTGGCTTGAGGCGGGCAGTAGCAAACCATTGAACACCCGGAGGTGCCCTCCCACCGTCAGAGACAATGCGTGGCCCTCGTGCTCTACGCCAATCGAGCTGTGAGCTTATAACCCGTAGACCTGTTGTCTACCATGGCTAGGTTTTACGGGAAGTGGGCAATCGACCACTTCTTAACCTCCGAAGAGGATGGACTAGGATACTGCCAGGGCGCCCACACCTGACAGGAGAAAGACTCGGGTCCTCAGCCAAAGCCTTCGATTAACTGAACACCCGTAAGGCAGCGGGTCTAGCACATGGTCAGTTCACTGACTCATGCGGATTGGTGTCCTGGATCCTAGCAGGGAGAAGGGCGAAAGCCATCCCACCCAGCGTCCGCCACGAGTACGCGCCCAGGACATGAGCAAATGGCATAACGGTAGCAGCAGTGGGTAGACCATCTGTCAGGATCTATCCACCACCAGCCTCAGCGCACCGTAGGCTATCCCGCAATATATATATATATATATATATATATATATATATATATATGTATATCTTCAATATTGCCGCGAATCAGCATTGGTGCTGAAGTATTGGAAACCACCTCGCGCTTCTGCTACCTAAGAAGTGTGATGTCGACTGATCAGCAGCTACACAGTGAGCTGCGTATCCGCGTGTCGAAGGCAGCGGCAGCATTCGGGAAGCTTTAGCACCGAGTGTGGAACAACCATCAGCTTACCATTGGCACGAAGCTGATGGTGTACCAATCCATGGTGCTGTCCGTTCTTCTATACGGCAGTGAAACGTGGACCATGTACCGGTGTGATGTCCGATATCTCGAGCGGTTCCATTAGCAGTGCTTGTGACGGATTTTGCGCATCGGTTGGGGCGACAGAGTTGCAGACACGAAAGTGTTGCGACAAAGTGGAATGTATGCAGTGGACTGCATACTTTTACTGAGACACCTGAGATGGCTCGGTCATGTGAGCCGTATGGATTCGACGCGGATACCGAAACAACTCTTATATGGTCAGCTGAGTATAGGGAAGCGACACGTGGGGAAACCAAAGTTACGTTACCAGGACATGATTAAATTGAGCGTCACACGTTCTAATCTTGATTGCAGATCATGGGAATCGAAGGCGGTTGATCGGCGTGCATGGCGCGAGCTGATCACCAAGGCAGTTGCTGAGGTGCAGGAGAAAGCCCTCATGCATGCATAGAAGAAGCGGCAAGTGCGGAAGCGGCAAGCACCGATGGGTTGTACTCCATCGACATCGAGCGCATGGTGCTGTAGCACATGCGGTCGCGAGTGGCTGAGTCAGGCAGGCTTAGTGAGCCATGAGCGAGGCCACTCGGGACCACTACTGAAGCGACAACGGGTCCTGCAGAGAACGTAGACAAAACCAGCGCAGCGTTTGTAGGTACGCTGCATTCTATTTACTAACCGCGTGCTTTCATGCTAAGTCTCTTTATTTCAGGTGGTGGGTTTTCAATTTTGTCCTAATGCTTTTCTTTCTCAAATAAATGTGCACCCGTACGCTCTTCCATAATCCTGCACAACTCGCTTAAGCCAATTGTAGTTAATTTCGATAACATTTTCGTGTTTGTGTCATTTCCTTAAAATATACTTTCTGGCCTCCTGAAAATATCTCGGATCCTTTGTTAACAACTTATTTCATATGCTCATTAATTTAAGATTATTGTCACGGTTTCCTCATGCATTACTCGATTTATTTTCTTTGTTAGCTTTCTCTCAAGTGATTGGCTGTTGCTTGATATCCCCGGTGTGGCTACGCTTAATGTGCATGTTGACAAGGTGCCTACCTGTCTATTACCCACTACCTCCTCCATACTGCCTCTAGGAGTTAGTTGGTCGTGGTGCACGGTCCTTGTGGCCGTGCTAGGCTCGAAGAGCAGTTCCATGCAATCAGTGTGGAGCGGACTACGGTTCAGCCACCGCCTTGTGTGCGCTTGATTCCCCAAATACAGCGTGATTGTGTTTGCTTGTGAAGGAGTGTGGGCCGGCTCCGTTGATGAAACGTGGCTCCCATCCACATGCCTCCCGGTCTTATTCCTTCGGGTTTACACTGGATATGGGGCGTGTGGTTGGAGCTTTGCGTGGTGCAGCGCACAGCGTGGTCCCTCTGTAGGCGCAGGCGTCCTGTGGCTGGTCACAGTGACAGGCAAATCCGAAACCGGTTGCCGCCAACCGTATATATATATATATATATATATATATATATATATATATATATTAAATGTATGCATGATGCCGCAAATCTAATTTTCTATTAGCCAACTTTGCTCGATTAACGGTTTTATTTCCTAGCTGTGTTCATTGGCACCTAATTTTCTGTATGGCTCCTTCGATAACATTCATTCTCCATTGCTCTAATCGCCACTTCTCGTGTTTATTTTTTCTATTTATATGCGGTACATCTTCATATTGGCATTTCCATTTCTCGTTGTAGAATGGAGATCGTCCACCCGATTCTCCCTACTTCCATATCACGCTTCGGCACTGGCTTGTCAGATTTTCCTATGTACATATAATAGGTGTTCTTCCAAAATACAGTTAGTTTCCTCTCATCGCCGTTGTTCTGATTCCTTTCGTAGCGTCTGATAACCTCTTACAATTGATGGACTGCCACCTTGGTTATAAACTACACTTACATGCATTTTTTTCACCCAAGGTTCACTTTCTTCTACTGGGCTTGTAGTGCTTAGAAGCATCAGTTGCATTGATTGTTACCGAAAACACCATGTGCTTCATATAAAAATACTATTCAGGCATAGTGCATTTTTGGGCTAAGTATTGTTTAACCGGACTTCTTATTATCGGTCTTTTATAACGCTATAGTTGCGCAGTTTTGCCGACTAACTCGGTCTCACTCAAGGTCAACCAATTAGCCGGTAGCAGTGTCAAGATATTCCCATCTGCACGCTCTGTATGACCAGAAACGCAGCCATCGTTCTAGCTTAGTTTGCATTCATTCTGTTATTTCCTCATCGGAGGCAGCTAGCCACATAACTACTCGGGGTGGTTTATCTCAGTTTATCCGCCCAATGTCGAACGTAATCCCAGCTGAAACCAATCCTCGCTGATGTTTTGGGACTCTGTTCTAAGTAACGACCGTTTTGGCGTTACTTAGTGTCTGGCTGGTCCATCCGTAAGGCACTGGGCCATCATTTATCAGAACGCGGGTTTGCTATTTACTTTTAGCTTTCTTTTTCTTTTGCGTCTGACCGAGAACGAATACTGTTATGTGAAATAAAATACCGTAAGCTGCCTCAAATTGCTTAGTACAAGATTCCAAATGGGGGAATGTGCAAGTGGACTGCTTGTTGGGACCTCATCGGTCTCTCTATCGCCACTTCCCTGCGATACTTATTTTGCTTACGGAGATTATGCGCTTTATCATTTCGGCCTGGTGTGCGATGAAGTAGCGCTCAGCTTTTTGAATTGCTGCTCTAGCTTGCGTTAATTTCCACGGCTTCTCTGCGGCCACAACTGTTTTATCTAAGCATATTCTATCAAAAACATGGTCAAGAGCCGGGAGAGACCCATTTCGGTCCAGGGTTGGATGTGTACACACTGAAAGGTTGCACGAGTATTGGCCTTTCTTGTTAGTTTTGAGAAATTTGTACGTTATTTGAGAGGATTACAACGTTACTGTCTTTTTTCTACTTCCTAACCATCCCACTTTCAGCGCCAGATCCGTTATACCGGTGCCAAAAAATCACGTTTCCAGTTGACACTGTAAGCTCCCTCCTTTCCTCGTTCGGATATTTCCGGGCAGTCCATATCAAGGAGTGCGTAAAAACCCCTGATTGACGCGCTCTCTGGAAGCGTTAGGCACTTCGTAACATCTAAGCATTCACCTCCCCGACCACTCATTATTTCAGGGTCTATCAGTTCCGATTACACTTGCCTTTATGTCCTAGTCGACAGTTTCTTTGATCAATTAGCTATCTAAACGAGACACTTGGACCCAGTTGGTAGAGTTAACGTGCCTCGCATAGAAAGCAAACAGATGAGGCGAAATCAAACGTCAAATCGTCTTACTAAAGTACTAGTAGCCACCGTTTCGCTAGTACGAGCGCACCGTTACTTTTTGGCTGTATCTTACCAGTCGGTGTTTTCAACTATCGGTGCGGTCTACTTCGTTTGAACTGTCATGGATGAGAAGCAGCATCAGGTAGACAGGATCTGGTCCACCTTCCCGGCGCTTCGTTGAAATGTCGCTGGATTGTTACTCCGGAGGTTCTTCCCGCAGAGCACATTTTCAGCTGAGGTGCACGGCAATATAGGACGGGTGTAGCTGAATGATTGTTGGGACTGATTCAGTTACTCGCACATCCTCTAGCTGCTGTTGGTGATTCCGCGCCAATTAATAGCTGCTTAACTCCTTTTTCCTTGACAGTCATCGTCTCTTGGCGTAATGTCGGTCTTCGGCTGATGAAGGCCAACCGCGTTCGACCAAACAATGCTGCTTAGGTACCATTGGTATCGTTTAACCCTCCGGGAATCAAAAAACAAAGTCTGGGTGGTCATCACAACATCGTTATTAAAAAGACCCTAAGTTATGCATAGAGTATATAACTTAAATTCACTGTATTGCTGTTGTCTGTTTCACTGGCTGGCCCTTTTTTAACTGGTCTGTATTGCTGGCCACATTTCATTGGTTCGTGCTCGCTCTCAAGATGGGCCGATCCGCGCCCCCGTGTCTAGAGTCACATTGGGCCTCGTTGCTACCACCGCGGAAAGACTGCACAATCAGCTGTCATTGGTGGCATCTCATTGGTCATTCGTTCACTTGGTCGATGCTCCTTCAGCTGCGACAGCGGACCGTATTGTTAATGTGGGCTCAAGCGTATGCCATCTGATCGCCACTCAGGGAACCAATCCGCTTCTCAGCTGTTACTAAGCACGCTGTCTCTCCTTTGCACTGGGCCGGACGCGTTGTGCTTGCTCATCTCGCGCCGGTGACGTCTGATTGGCTCCTGGTCCATTGGTACTGCAACAATTCCATTCGTTTCAGGTTTCAGCTACTATCATCACATCCTTACCTTTTTTATTTTTTTACTACTGTGTTGTAATACGTTCCGTACCGTGTTCTACCGCGTGTGAGCTTACTTCCTTAGGTTGGATCGAGTGGTATTCTTTCCTGTTGTTGCTGCCTATCTCCGCTTTATGGGATCTAATCGTAACGTGCCCCTCTGACTTGCACCCGATTCCGTCGAGTGATGTTGCTCTCTATCTTGACTTCATATCTCTTCTCTCCCTTGCGATCTTCAGTCACCCTTTCGCCAGTGTGCTCCTGATTTTGGTACTGATTGCACCCATACTTCTCCCTAACCTAGAGGTGGGAGACTTCTCGATCCGCAATCACAGAACTACGTTTGCCTTAGCATTCTGTTACGTAGTTGATCGTGCGGAGAAGCAGCCAGCGCTACCTCGAGGTGTAATAAAATTTTAGCGGCCGGAAGCAGCGTTCTTGTTCTGCGACTTAAGAGTCGTTGCACTTGATTTGCTCCCATTTCCGTAGATGGTGTGTTTCTTCGCTTCATCAGCGTCATGTACCGATCCTCCTAGATCTGCTTGACTGGTAAGCACTCTGTTTGTCTCTTTTATTGCTGACAGCGTTTCCATATGATTGGCTAAGACACGAGCTGATAAACTGGTGACGAAAATTCCACTTCCTGTTGAAAGAGCAGTATTCTGCACTACTAGATTGCGGCCGGTTGTCGGAAATCATCACCTCAGGTACTCAATGCTGAACGCATTTACGCTGTACTGTGTTCACCGGGGTCTGTCAGGAATGTAACCACTGGCGCTCATTGTGTGTCTTGCATGCCAAATGGTTTGCTACGTAATCACGTATTAGGGGGGTCATTCCCGGCCGGAACATCAGCGTTCGTGCTCTTGCTGCGCAATTGTTGGTTCCCAAATGTGCATAGTATACCAACTCCAGCAATGAACATTGAAGTGACTTCGGAACTAGTATCCTGTTGCCCTTGAATATTAATCCGTCCTAGGCGATGAGTTCGTCACGAAAATGGTAGAACGGAGTCAGCTCCTTGAGCAGCTTTTTTTTCTTCCTCAGACCATCCGTTCATTATCATTTGCTTCAGAAGCCTGCATAGCTCGTCCTCCTCCGTGCACTTTTGGAGCTGCTGAAGTAGATCATCCGTGACAGCGATCAGCTGTGTTGCATGAACAAAATCTGCAAATTTGCTTAAAGTGGCATTACTTCGGCGTACGTTAAACGTTAAGTTCATCTTCAGTGGTAAAATGTACCGTCAGATTGATGGAGTAGCCATAGGATCTCTTTTGGGTCCTTGCCTTCCGATATCTTCATGGCAAAATTGGAACGTGTCGCACTTAGAACGTATATCGATTAGACCGAAATATATGTACGTTATGTGGATGACACTTTCGTACTTTGCAAACCAAAAGAACATGCGGCGCAGTTATTGCAAGCTTTTAATGGCGCGCATGAGAATCTCCACTTCACTAGCAAGCATGAGTTCGGAAACCGACTACCCTTTCTGGATGTAGACGTTCTCAGTAACTCTGATGAATCTATCAGGAAATGCACATAAAGCATACATGGACTAGGCAATGCACTAACTTTTGCAGTGCAGTGCCTCTACAGTACAAGGAAATTTTGGTCCTATTTTTCGCTTTCAGGGCGCGCGGTATTTGCACACTGGATACCGTGAACGAAGAACTGCAGAGAATCAGCTGAAGGAACGCAAACGCAAGCTATTCACAAGTATTGCTCCTAAAAAGAGGTGTTTATGCACTTGCCATTTAAGAGCGATTCTGCTGCTGGTACTCTATCGCAACGCTTGTAAGATGCTGTTAAGGAGATCTATTTCTCGGCCCGATTGAGAATTGTTTACTACAAGCCGTTGCTTGCAAATTTCTTGAAGGATGAGTTGCTCCCGCTGACCCGTTGCATGCTTGTTTATCTGTACTTGTGCTCCTGTGGTGCACGATATGTGGGTCGTACTGCGAGGTGTCTACCTCAGAGAATTCGCAAGTACATTCTGGCCTGCTTATACAAAGACGAGATATCTTCAAATAGCTCTATTCCGTCACACCTCCTTGATTTTGGCCACGCAATCTCTGGGAATGACTTCACGGTCATATACTCACTACCTGACTCTTTTACACAAGGTTTCCGCAAGCAGCTCCCGTCCATTGCTGAGGCTATCTACATCCGCCATCTAAAGCCCGAAATATGTTTACAAAAGTGGTACATATGTCCGTTACGACTTCCATGGCCAACGGACAATTTTACCTAACCATTTGATTGTCATCCACGGTTCCATGTTGTACTTTTTATTCTTTTTGCTTTGCTTAACATCTGCAACTTATCTTCAGCTATCGATTATCTGTTCGAACAACCCAGCAATCAATTTTCAGCCCGATTTGACCCTAACGACACCTAATCTCTACCATGTTAACCTTTTTATTCGACGAGGGTTTACACGGAAAGAATTCGTAACCTAACACTCAGTTGTTCTTGATTTAATCACTCAAATGGGAATATTTGCTTTGCTGA